ATTAATGGCCAGGCGGCTGCAAGATGTTGTGCTCAAGGAGCGCTACGGCTTTGTTGGAATTACGGAAGGGCGGCAGGCGTGTCGAGGTTGTTTTGAAGGCTTCATGGGGTGTTTTTGGAAAGGTCCTGGAGGAGCTGCAAAAGCTCAGGAGGTTATTGAAAAAGGTTCAATACTTTAGGTTGTGACTGGTGATTTTTTTTTTTTCGATAATGTAATATCATTATGAAGGATGTATTATATGTCTGTCAAAAGGTGAGTGGTTGTAATAGATTTAAGAATAAGAATAAGAAAACCTTAATTTGTCCCACAATGGAGAAACTTGCATTTTAGTTTTACTAAACAGCAATGGTTAGGGTTTTTTTTTCTTTTTTTTTTTAAAACATAACAGTTAGTAATGAATGCCAACAGGGTGGTTGTGGTTTTAGAGGCTGCACAGGGAGTTGTTTCTGTTTTTGTTGTATTATTATTATTATTATTAGGATTATTATTTTTGTGTAAAGTTACTCAAGGTGCTACAAAAGCTGAGGAGGTTTAAATAAAAAATGTGATTTTTTTTTTTTTTTACTCGATTATTTAATAATGTAATAACACCATTCGGTGGGCTTGCAGAGGGATTTTTTTTTCAAGAAGAAAGTGTCAAAACGTCAGTGCTTCTACTGCATTTTAGTTTTACTATCCGCTAATTTTTATTTATTTATTTATTTTTTTACAATTGTGTTAAGAATGAATAATGGCAGGCTTTTTACAGTTCTGAAGGCTTAAAAGGATTTTTTTTTTTTTGGTCAGAGTCATCTTTGAAAAGGTGAGTGGGTGTACTGCAATTTAGTTTTGCACTACACAGTGTTTTTTTTTATTTTTTATAAACACTCAACAGACAGTAAGCATGCTTGTTCCGGTCATGCAGGCTTCAAAGGGAATTTTTTTGTGATGGTCCTCATAAGTGCTGCAGGAGTTTTTTTTGTTTTTTTTTTTTATGATGTGACATCACCCAAATGGACACTACAAAGGGAGGTTTATTTGTGCCCTTCCATACCTGTCAAAGGATGAGCAGCTTTGCTCTGCTTTAGTTTCCCGGGAGAGCGGCTGTTTTGTTTTAACCTTCATTTGACTACTCATGATGAATCGTGACAGGCTTGTCACACAATGGAGGGCTAAAAAGTCAGTTTTTTGTTTTTTTTTTGTATGGGTCCAAGCCCTGTTCCCTGAGAATAGTGGGGGTCAGGCACAGTGCCAGAATTTGTTCTCTCCCAGGATCAAAGGGAGGCTTGACTGATATGTCGGTGAAGCTGAGGGAAAAAAACCAAAATAAAATTCATGACTTTGCTTACTTGAGAGGCTCTCTCGTTTTTTCAAAGAAAAGTATGATACACACTAGTGGTGCATGTATTCAATATAAGGTATGAACTGGCCGGCAGGGAAAGATTTGAACCCTATGTCCAATGATGTTCATTGATTATGTCTTTGGATCCCCTTTCCATGCGTACTGCTCCTTCAGGAGTTGGACCGGATTCTTTTTCTTTTTTCCCAATCACCTCGACCCCACTGAAAAATGGTTCAGAGAGGTAGCGTGCGCTCCGCTCTCATAAATTTCCTGCCTTCGTTTTCATGAGTGTGCGAGCATACCTCGTGTTTGAGCTTGTGTCACACCATGAGCAAATCCCTCATGCGTTTCTTTTCGCAATATTGTGGCAATACTCAGAACGCCACTGTAGTCGTAATGCAAATTTTTCATCGCATCTCTGCTCAGGGGTATTCATTTATTAGCAATATGTTTGTTATTGCGGTTTTAGTTTGCCTTGTTAACAAATACCTCAGAGCATTTATATCTTCGCTCTTGTACTGGATGGCAACAAGACAAACAACAATAGGCTTTAGTGTGCCATTTGGACAGTCGTCCCTAAATTATTTGCTCATTTGCTTGTTTTTTTTTTTTTTGGAGCCATGCACACGTAGCTTGCCTTTGCCCTGGCTGAAGAATTAATTTCACACTTGAGGAATCAATAATAAACTGGCTTTCCTCAGTAAATAAGCATTTTCCGGCCACTCCAGCTATTCAAGCTGTGCACAACTGCTACAAGCACTTTAAAGAGCCTCTGCTGCTGTGTTGTGACCACTAATGACCCCACTTGTAAACTTCTACTTAAGAAAAATAAACACACACACACACACACACACACACACACACACACACACTCTGGCACAGCTGTGTCGTATTTCTGTGCGGAGGTCATATGGAAATTTCAGACACGTTCCGGCCGGCGGATCTGTGAGAGAGGGCTGCGCCACGGTGGAAGTGGTCAGAGCCCACTTCAGTCATGGCCAATCAAAGCTGCTTCATACATTAGCTTTAAATGCGGCGCGTTAGTTGCGCGCCACAGTCTCGACAAAGCGGACGCACACCTGCGCTGTGAAATGGGCACTTGGCGGTCGCCAGCTCTCTGCCACTGCCCCCCACACCCCCCGCTCCCCTTTCATTCGTGTAAAAAGTGTATGTGAAGACTTGTAGGTAGCGAGTGAGGCCCCTTTATGATATGCAAACTCGTTTGTGCATTTTCAGGTTAAGCGTCTCTCAAACGCCAACTGAACCAACCGGGCCTGTTATTTGATGACACGTTGTGCACCTGAAGTTTTAAAAAGGTGTTTCTCAGGGTGGAGAATGAATTATCTGACATCACACAACTATTATATTGCTCAAAACCAATCCCTTCCTTCCTGAAAGAATCCTGAAAAGTCTTTGGGAAGTTTGGTGGAGAATCACAACAAAAACACACCTAAAACGGAACGGTTAGACCCGCGAGGGCATTTAAAACAAACGCCCCTTCTGCCACTCCGGAACCATGTGACGAACTATTGCCTCAGCTAACCGCCCCTGGACCAATAAAGCTAGGAAATAACGAGGCTGGCAAGCTGTCAGCGTTCCGGTTAATTAGAATTTAATGAACAAACATGTCATCATGGACGCTTGTTAAGAGGATTTGGGATTAGCGAGGGTATAATAAAAAAACAAGAAGAAGAAGAAGATGACGGTGAGGGTTCAATAGTACTAATTCAGCCCGCTGAATTGTCTCACTGTTCGTTTGGGCTGTTTTCAATCAATATGAGGACGCATCCAAGGATGGAGTGGGGTGGGGGGGTGGGGGGGGGACACGTGAAAGGAAGGCTTTGTGGTCAATATTTGCTTTGAGCACCACTTTGCTTGGCATCATGGAGCACTATTGGGACACTTTTAATACAGTCACACAAAGGCCCTCTACTTGGATGCTCTTTGTCCTCCCTGTCACGTTGCGAGCAAAGCGGAAGGGAACCCGCTTCACTCGCAACCAAGGTGATCTAAAGGATTCCCGAAACAGCAGACAACAACAAGAACTCCGTATGAAAATAAGATTTATTTAACAAAAACCGCACCGCAAAAACGAGACAACAGAAAACGCTGGCAAAAACGAGTACCAGGAAAAGCACGAAAGAACCGAATAACAAAAAAAACGCTCGCACGAAGGCAAGGAGAAAAACGATCTAGTCGCAATAATAATACACACCGAATACTAACTCGCGCACAAAGGCGAAATGCAAAAAGGTACTACCGACACAATAGGCAAAGCAGTGGCACGGCAAACAATTCTCCGGCAAGTGAAAGTACGAAAGCCGGCCTTGATAAAGCCAGTGCCTGATTACAAATGGGTAGCAGGTGTGCATCCGGCCCGAAAACACCGTCTGCCGCCTGCTGTCGCAAACGGGACATGACACTCCCAAGTGTGAAAATGTGGCCATTAGTTGAACAAACAGCTCTTTTTACAAGTGGCATTTTTAGCCAATAAACGCTCGAGTGGTTTCGTAGAGCTGTTTATTTTGTTGATATCCTTGAGGTCCACGATGTTGTAGCAAATCAAAATAAATCTTTTTTTTTTTGAAAAAGGGAATTTAACCCCAAAATTTTTTTACAATATGTTGCGTGCACCCCCGCTAGCCTAAACATGCTATTCTGATTACTGTTGCTTTTGTTGAATATGAATGAAGCAGCAAAATCCACCTGTTTTGATCTATCTCAGGGGACGGCCATTTTGATTTTTTTCTTTTTAAAGGTAATTTAACCCCCAATTTTTCTTCACAATATGTTGCGTGCACCCCCGCTAGCCTAAACACGCTATTCTGATTACTATTGCTTTTGCGGAATATGAATGAAGCAGCAAAATCCACCTGTTTTGATCCATCTCAGGGGGCGGCCATTTTGCCACTTGCTGTCGACTTAAAAAGTCATCACAGTTGCTCGGGGCTCAGGTAACAATCAAACCTGGCTACGTTTGCGAACGTGACATGACCTACCTAAGAAATCGGCAGAGCTGTGACTGGATAACCGAGCCCCGAGCAACTGAAATGCCATTTTCAGTCAACAGCAAATGGCAAAATGGCCGCCCGCTGAGATGGTTAAAAACGAATGGATTCTTCTCACTAATTCATTTTCCACAGATGCAGTATTAATCAGAATGCCGTGTTTAGACGAGTGGGGGCCGCATAGAACGTATTAAATAGTGAAGTGTTGAATTTGAAATCTTCCCTCTTCGGCACGCCGCCTCTGAATGGATACTTTGGGGAGCGTTGCCTTTGCTCTCTCATGTCCTCCAATTTTCACGCTTTCCATTATTTTGTTCAAAAATAATCATGGAATGGAAAGAGGAAGTTGAGCATAATGTGTGCTCTCGCCATTAAAATTCTGAGCCGCCGTAAAGAGAGTCTGAGTGCACTTTAAATTGGAAAGTCGGGCCCATCGTAGCAACAACGCAGACTTTGTTTTTCACACGACTTCATTTTGAGGTTGCCGTTTTTACATTGTAACTTGATGACTATGTCATGAGTTTTTTTTTTCTTCATTTTTTTATCTCATGGAAACCTCACAGACCAAATGACATGACGAATGTGTGATCATGCCAACCCAATTGCCTGACTCAAACACTCAGAGAGAGAGAGAAAGAGAGAGAAAACCACTAACGTTGTTTTTCGGGCAGGTACACCAAAATGAAGACAGCCACCAACATCTACATCTTCAACCTCGCCTTGGCCGACGCGCTGGTCACCAGCACGCTGCCCTTCCAGAGTGTCAACTACCTGATGGGCACGTGGCCCTTCGGCGACATCCTGTGCAAGATGGTCATGTCCATCGACTACTACAACATGTTCACGTCCATCTTTACGCTCACCACCATGAGCATCGACCGCTACGTGGCCGTGTGCCACCCGGTCAAGGCTCTGGACTTCCGAACGCCGCGCAACGCCAAGATCGTCAACGTCTGCAACTGGATCCTGTCGTCCGCCATCGGCCTGCCGGTCATGTTCATGGCCTCCACCGTCGTCACTCGTGAGTCTGCCGACATGCTCGTCTTGAATACGTTCTCCTTTCAAACTCAGCCCACCGCGAGACAGTGCCGAGCGGGACGTCACGCGCGACTATCTGATTAGCGAGCCAATCCGAAGCATCCGGGTTTTAACGTGTCATCTGTGAAGCTTTCCGTGCCCACCGTGTGTTGAAATCACCCGCTGGCCTTTTGCTCCAACTTCTGTTGCAGCAAGATAACGCTTGGCGAGCTTCATTGGCCCTTTTCTCTCCATTACCTCCGCTGTTAAGGCAACAATGCCAGCGACTCGTATAAATGAGTCACAGGGAAGCCTTTCAGCGGAGAATAGCTAGTAAATAGTGCTCCTTGCAAAAGGACCCCGAGCAAGCCCGCTGGAGTGTTCATTACACTTTAATTTGCTTGAATTATGTTGATGTGGATGGAAGTCGCCGCGCTTTGGAGCTTATTCTTAATAAGAGCGCACAGTTGTGACGTTGTTGTCCATCGCATAATCGTGTTTACATGTTACACAGTCTGGTTTTGGATTAGCCATCAAAACGGCAAAACAACAGAAGGACAAACACGAGACACGCGGCGCGGCGCTGACAAAATGACTGCCTTCGCGTTATGACGGGCGGCGACAAAACGCTTCGATATGGAGACATTTGTGAAGAATAATAACGGGATGGTGCCACTGTCTCACGATAAAACTATCGCTTTTCCAAGGCCAATACCGAGGAGGCCGATAACCGATATTTGGAGCCACTGTTCATAATATAGTGGCACCAAAATTTCTAACCCTTTAGCAGTTACTACAGTTTAGTACAGCTGCTCATCGAAATGCTACATTTTTCTCATTTTTCAGATTGTAACAATTATTCTGGAAAACACAAGACTGTAATCACGTCAATAATTTTCCTTGAAACATATGCCTTTTTTTTTCATTAAAATCAAGAACCTTTTTCTTGAATATTTTCACCAGGAAAAAAAAATTATTAAATAATATGACGATTCTTCTAGGATGATTTTTTTTTTTTGGGCAGGGGGATGTCATAATACATTTATCAAACTTTTATCATGAAATGTGACTGTATTGCTATGACTGAATAATGATTTTTTTTTGTCATCCTAATACGGCATTTTCCGAAAAAGTTTTACCCCCTCAAATCAGACTTTTTCATCTTGTTTTTTTTTTTTTTTAAATCGTAAGACTTTATCTCTGCCATCAGACAATGTTGTTCTTTCTCTCGGAAAGTATGACTTTTTGTCGGGGGGGAAATAAATCCAACTTTATTCTTGTACAAAAATGCCAACTTTAACCCTGAAAAAAATACAACTTTTTATCTCAAAACACTGCGTTATTACCTTGTGATGTGGCATTTCCGGCCGCATTTCCCCCGCACAGCCTCGAGCATCGTGGACTGCAAGCTGATCTTCCCGCAGCCGTCGTGGTACTGGGACATCTTGCTGAAGATCTGCGTCTTCATCTTCGCCTTCATCATGCCCGTGCTCATCATCACCGTCTGCTACGGCCTGATGGTCCTGCGCCTCAAAAGCGTGCGCATGCTGTCGGGCTCGCAGGTGAACCGTCCGCTCGCTTCGAATCTTCGGCTGCGCCTTTCCGTGACACGGATGAGAGGGCATTAGAATGCATCGCATCAACTCCAGTCCCGATTGATTTTTTTCCCTCTCGGTATAAATGGGCTCGAAAAGTTGCGAGCTCCATTGATTCATCACCCAAGAAAAAAGAGCAACACAGCTGAACAGAATCAACTGCGGCTCAATGCGGTGACCGACTTGTACTGATTTCATAAATCGATCACCCTGCGAGAATCATTTTGCAGTAATCCTGCAAATCAAAAATACGATGTTGGGGAAAGATGGAACGGCGAATAGCAATGTAGCAAATGGGAAATGAATCGTTTCCGTGGTGCACGATGTGATCAGGGTGCATGAAGGCTGTTAAAAGTGAGCTAATTGTCGTGGTTTGGGGGGGGGCCTAGGAGAAGGACAGGAATCTGCGTCGCATCACGCGCATGGTGCTGGTGGTGGTGTCCGTCTTCATCGTGTGCTGGACACCCATCCACATCTTCGTCATCATCATCGCCCTGATCAACATCTCCAGCTCCACCCTGCAGACCGTCACTTGGCATTTCTGCATCGCCCTGGGATACACCAACAGGTACTCGAGCAAAGCCGACGATGCCGCTTGGCGCGACATGATGGAGGGCGGGAAGCACGAAAAGTGGCGATGAGTCGAGACACGCACGCTCTGCATGATAGCGGCAATGTTGTGATGGACTTATTTTCTGAATAAACTTTGTCCAAGCGCATGATATGTTTTGGTGCTCGATTTTGACAGATTTATTTTTAAAAAAAACCTTTGCTCAAGATAGTGCATGATATGCTACGTGTGTTATCTCCCCACATATTTTTCTTCAACAATGTAGTCATGGATTTTTTTTCTCTCCCATTTTTAACAATGACAGTGCATGATATGCTGCAATGCCATAATGTTTTGGTTTTTTTTTCCTCTGCAGAGATTTAGCAAAGACAGCGCATGCTGTGCTGCTTACTTCAATGTTGTGATGTACTTCTGTTCTTAATAAATGTATCCAAGGCAGTGCATGATATCTTGTTTCCTTCTATATTTCGATCGGTTTCATTTTGCAAATCCGCATGGTTTATCTTTGCATATTTTTTGTTTTTGTTCAAGATAGTGCATTGTTTGAGACAATATCGTGATGGATTTTTTTTTTCATATTTCTCGTCACGACGGTGCATGATATGCTGCTTGCTGTTCGGTATTAATGGTCTAATTTTGAAAACATGTTTTTTGTTTTTTTTTAAGAGAGCGCATGATATGCTGCTAAGTGGTAATAGCCGAATTTTTTGAAAACTAAAACTCACGACACTGCTTCCATTTTGCAAAGCTTTTGTTCAAGCGAGTGTATGATATCTTGCTTGGCACGATGTCGTCATGACATTTATTTTTCGCCATAACAGTTGCTTGATGATATGCTTTTGGGAGGGGGAGGGGCGTCCTTTAAAAAAATAAAAAAATAAAATTATTCAAGAAAGTGCCTGCTATTATTTTTGCATATTTTGATTCGAGCCAGTGCACACGATTCCGTTTTCGCTATTATTACTAAGGTCTTTAATTTGTGCACGGTCTTAATTTCTTCACGACAGATGATCTATTGCTCGCTGTTATGTACTGATGGGTTGATGTTGCACACTTACAGCAGTCTGAACCCGGTGCTTTACGGCTACCTGGACGAGAACTTCAAGCGCTGTTTCCGCGAGTTCTGCTCATCAGGCCCCTCGCTACTGGAGATGCAGAACTCCACTCGGGTGGGCGCGGTCGGCCGCAGGGCGCCCCAGCGCGAGCCCAACAGTGCGCAGACGGGCGACAGGTCCAATCAGCAGGTATGGTGGAGACAGTGAAGCTCCCTCTACAGGTTAAAAGGCATAATTGACCTTAAAACTACCATGATAAATAAAATAGACGCGCGGCGATAATATGGCGAAGGAGGCTAATTAAGCTAATTCACTGAAAGCCAAAGAAGGGCATCAATCACAAATGTGAAAGTCGCAAGTATGTTTGAAATTTTAAAGTTTTAACCCACTCCTAAGTTACTGTCCGAAAGTAAATCGAGTCTCGCACACAGCTAGCACCGATGCTAATGCTAGAACAACGTGACTGGTGTCCTGACTGGTCCACAACTTCGATAACACCACTAAAGTAGCGGATGCAATGTTGCCAAAGCTATGAAAGACGCACCACTGACGTAGCCACATTGTTTTTGGAGGTACCACGCTGTTACTTTAAGTTACTTCAAACCGGCGTCCATTTTGTGTCTCTCGGGCAGGTATGACTAGCCGTGGAGGAGTCGTCCGTTGACTCTCGCTGTCGAGGTGGCGGCGCCAATGACGACCTCAACTCGGAAGTCACACAAGTCACCACAGGGCTCTAATAACTCACGCACGCTGACACTCACATATTAACGCACCTACACACGGATTGAGATTCAAAACGTTGCAAGTCGGCAAATGGAGCAGGGAGACCAATCGGAAACAGAAGGGGGTGTGCGGCACGGACAAATAAGAATTGTACATACAAAGATGCTGACCATTGTTATTATTATTATTATAATAAGTATTATTTACGCCTGCTCTTCATCGGATTTGTAATAGACTGCAGACCTCAGCCAAGGCCAGGTAATCCCAAACGTGTACCAGGCAATACTGTTTCCAATCCAATTCTCGAGATAATGTCGACAAAGAGAAATGATCGGTTGTCTCAATAACTGTCCGAAATAAGTGAAGAAATACTGTAGCTGTTGACTTCTACCACTTTCACGCTGAACTGGTAGCACATTTGGAGCCAGTGCAAGAACCACATCACAAACCGTCATGAAAGACCCAAAATAAAAGACGGTGTCAAACGGTGAAATACGGTGTCAAGAACCATTTGAAAACCACTTGATGAACCGGGCCAGGAACATACCAAAAACCCAGTTAAGGACCAGTAAACATCAAGTCAAGAACCATGTCGGAAGCCATGCCAAGAACAAGTCATGGTTGTTTTTGGTTTTTTTTGCCACTACCAGTGCAACTTTCGGCCTACGAGTACGATCTTAAGTTGGATATGAAGGACGTGGATAAAATACTCCAATGGTTTCCCACAATTGTGGCTTATGGCTACTAGATGGACATCCACATGACTGGTTGCTACATGGACCTTCAAATGCTGATCGAGTAAACACTCAATTGATTGACATTGTTCTGCTGTACCTAATGTTATGTCCCTGGGAAACTTTTGGTGGCATTTTCGACTCGTTTCTGAAAGCACGAGTCGCCACAGGCTAATTTCCCTGCTGCTCGTTTGTTTGCACGGTGGCAGCTTCGAGGGTGTTTTTTTTTTTCTCTGTTGCACACTCACACGCACACACACACCCACAGAGACAAAGTGTTACGTTTCCAACCTGTGCCTGGACTGTGACGATAGACGAGCTCTGCAAATCGTCTCTGGACCGAAAAGGGGAAACGGGGGGGTTGAGCAAGTGTGTTTATGATACGGTAAGCCCGCTGCTGCCGCATGAGTGTGTTTGCATACTTTTAACGACACCGGCGTGTGTGTGTGTGTGTGTGTGTGTGTGTATGTGTGTGTGTGTGTGTGTGTGTGTGTGTGTGCGTGCCGGGCGGCGGCTCACGACGGAGGCTCACTTGATGTATTTGCCACACGGGAATGTGTGTTGTTCGTACTGCGGCTGCTTTGGTGTCTGTCGTACGTTTTCTTGTTTCTTAACTGCCTGGCCGACAGTAAAACGTGGATAGATGGGCGTTCTGCGTGGAACCATATTTGGTAAGCAAGGCAAATCGAAGTGTAAAAACCGCCAAACGCTGAAATGTGAAACCCTAACCCCAGTTTAAAAGTCTAATTTGAAACCCAAACCCGATTTTGAAAGTCTATTTTTGGGTTCAAGACTTCAAGATAGATGAAAGATGAACCTTGTTTTGAAACCCAAACCCCTGCCAGGAATCTACAGTACTGTAATCCCTCGTTTATCGCGGGAATTACAATATTAAGTGAAATTCCGTGATGTAGTTGTATTTATTTTTTTTACTATACACATACAATACAATACTGTACACCAAAGACTAAACAATTTTTCAGGCCCAAGTATTAATAAAAAACCCAAGCATACACACACACACACACACACACACACACACACACACACACACACACACACACACTCTTATTATGATAATTATTTGGCAATATAGGGTTAATTCATACAGTATCTTTATTTTTGTAAGGGTTAAGGGACCAAAAATGAAGTTATTTTATTCACGATCTATTTTTTTCAATTAATCGGTGGATGAATCGGTGATTACAATTTTATTCAACCGAATATCGGAACTCGACCAAAAAAAATAAAAATAAAAAATTATCGGGCCCTATGTTAAATTTTAACCAGGCTTGCAACCCTAACTTGTAGTGAGAAGTCGAAAGCTTGGCTTCCAACCATGTTTTGAAACTCCAACCCTGGTGTAGAAACCATAATTTGACTTAATTTTAATTCCAAACCCTAATTTGCAATCCTAACCCATGCTCTTCTACTATTTGGGGTAATTGGATGCATTTGTTCCGTCTTCTAGAAGCACTGTAAAAGGGATGACAGTTTTTTTTTTTAAATCGTATAAAGAGTGTTTACTTCTTTTTAAACTTGTCTGACAGTAAAGAATGTCAGTAAAATGTGGACAAGAAGTTCAGAAAATAGACGGATGTATAAAAACATTGCCTGCCACTTAACGAGGGTCCTTGGATGACTCTGAACCAGTTTATTTCGCCATCCATTATTTCCGATGGGCAAAAGCAACTTGCAGGAATCGGGTTTGGGCCTACGGGCCATTATTTTAGATTGACTTTCAAGAGAATTTCCCATTTAAGAGGAGTACGCTGTGTCACCATGAGAAACAACATCTTGCCCTGGCAAACAGATGCGACTCTGTAGGGGAATCAATGTTTTTTGACAGTGCACACAGGCTTAATGAAACAACGCCACGGTGGTATCGTCAGATCATATTACGTGTGCGTGACTTAATTGGATTTAAGGGCCAGGCAGTGCGCTCGCCAGCTTTTTCACCGTCGTTGCAAAATTTGATATTACGTGTGCCGCTATTTTTTTTTAATAAAGATAAATTGAGCCATTGAGACAAAGTGTGGGCTAACTCCATTATGTGTTATCTTTCAGGAAATATTGATAGCTTTGAAGGATGTTTGGACTTGGACAACTGCTGTGCTGAACATCTTTGGTTAGACAAGTGAATAAGTATTGTTATTGTGTCTAAATATTAAGAAATGAATGACATTAAAAAAAATTATTTTCCAAAATGTCTCAATTCCCACACCCTAATTTTTTTAAAACTTTCAATTACTCTCCTGCAAAATGACAAATGGAGTTAGTGAGCCCACTCTCAGTGTCTCAATTATTCCAGTAATTCTAATTCTAATTATTTTTTATGGGTCATTTCAGAATTGGAGGACATTTTACATCGCCCATCCCATCAAATTTTAAATAATCCACATACAAAATATTAAACCATGCAGTTTCCGTCCTGATTTCCACATGTTTTTCCCTTGACTTATGTACATCAGTAAATGTGTCCTCTTGGTTAGCAGTAACAGCTAGCTAAACATTTAGCTTGTACTTCTGAGAGAAAGCTAACATTTGTCAGCAACCAACCCTGTTGCTGTGATTACAGTGACGGCCTTGCACGACATTAACAGGGTTGCATCTACTCCTTACTCAAACTATTATTTGTAATTTATTATTATGATGAATGAATACATGTATCAGAAAATCAAAACAGTGAAGGCTTAGTTTTTAAGAATTTTGAAGCGCAAATGCACTCCAATTCTGGAATGACTGACCGTTATATACACTAAAATTGTCTTAAAAGCTATTTTTAAAAAGAATTTTAAAAAAGAGGTCTAAAATGATGAAGGATTGTGCTTCTACTGTGGTCATATTGAATCTGAAGTGTCATTTAAAAATGTATATTGATAAAAAAATATGTATGCTGTAACCTTGTATATCTTATCTTATTGTCCTTGCTGTTATTTTTGATGAACGTTGTCCTGGTACACATGCTGTATGCAACCCGCTGGTGTTGTGAAAATGTGTATAAATTGCAACTACAATAAAAGTTTGTTGGATGCTTTGTAGAACCACGACACGCGTACAAATATTTAATACTTTTTTCCACATTAAATTCACTATCACAGCACTTTCAGTTGGCCTTGTGTTGCGAGCATTCATTCGACAAAAGCTTGAGTGCATGCCCATGAAATGAAACTGTCAAATGCTGTCATACAATTTCATTGTAACGCATAAGAAAATAATTTGACATTTTTTTAATGAGGAGTGTATTTTGCCACAGTCTCGTAATTGGCATGTCCAGCTAAGTAGCTAACTGACTGTGATTGCCATTTGTGTGCTGAAATGGTTGCCCCCGGGGATCCAAATTAACAGCAATAACAGATGCTTTCAATCTGCTGCATCGTGTGTCGAGCTTTTGATGTACACAACCACGGGAATGACTTGCAATCTACTACAAAGAGAAGAACTTGCACTCAAGGTCTGCTCCTCGAGTGAACAAGACGTGATGGACAGTGTCGTCCAACTTTGATTTCATTCACACACATAAAAAATAATAATAATTCAACGTCCTCTTGCCCACTGCTATTACGCATTATCATGTCCTGCTCAGCTGTTATACGGGCAATAGACACAAACAGAGGTAAAGGCACTAATATAAACAAACACACACATGCATGCATAAGTCGGGCTCCAGGTTTTTTTTTTCCTACTGGGGCTAAAAGGGGGGCTTGCCATGGACATAGTCGGGGCTGACAAAATAATGTATAAATCAAATAAAGTGCTGGAAGTGCTTAATTGGAGCTACACAGATTTCTGACGGGGCTATAGCCCCCCCCCCCTTTTTTTTGACGCAGTTACGTTGACAAACTGAATGGAGACTGGATTCCACAAATGTAGACACAAACAAAATTTACACCAAAAAATATTTCATAACAAAAGCACACCGACAAAGTATAAACAGAAATTGCTGATCAAAAAGAACCAGCAAAAACAATACATTAACAAAAAGCGCTTCCAAAGGTAAGGTGACAGTAAATCCGAGAATACATAAATAAGATCGCGAGGTCTATAAAACAACGCCTTGAGCAAGAGCAGCAACAAGGTCAATAATCCGACGGAGACTTAGGAAGTCATTAAATAATTGGCTCAGTTGATGAACGCATTGGCAGCAGGTGTGCAGACTAGAGGGAAAGCCCTCCTCTGCCACCTGCTAAAGACACACAAGAACAGGATCAGTAGCGTAGCGCCGTCCCTGCATACAAGTGGAGACACACGAAGACAAACACACAACGCCCACACAAAAACACAAACCCACCCACGTACACAACAAATCGCTCTGTAAGATGTGCATACATTTTTGGCAACAACATTTTAAAATAACATTAAAAAAAAAACATGCAAATAGTGAAACGCAACGAGGTTGGGGTTTTACAATTTACAAGTTTTACGATGATGGCCGGCAACTAATTCATTCGCCAAACAGGTAGTTTTCCACTCCGGCGCTTCCACTGTAATCATAATTCTAAAGGGATCCTTCACATTAAATCGCAGTCGATTCCCTGGTGGCAATTCAGCTAAACGGTGATCACACGCTGTGAGACGAACGGCTCAAAGGCTGCTGCAGTAATTATGAAACGTGCTGAAAACGCCGTCGGGTTCTCGCTGTCTTTTTATAGCTTTGTGCGCGATACGAGCGCGGAGTGACCGCCTTTCGAACTTAATGCCACAGTTCTTCTGGGTGTTTTCATTGATGAAGGTAGGATTTTCAATAATTCAGCCTGCTCGATTATTAGTCTCGCTTTAGGCAACTAAGATATCATGGAAATATTTTTATTGCAATAAACAT